AACATTTCCAGACTTTCTCACGGGCAAATTTCTGTTCACGTTAAACGGACAAATTCCGACTAATTTTGGAGCTAGATAGTTAAATTCTGATTGCTGAGAGTCAGAACAATTACATTTCTGTCTGACGCGTTATTTAGTACAATTCTTTCTCCATTAGTGAGTGTTTTTACAAAAAAATAATGCTTCAGATAAAGTTTCTACAAGGTGGCAAATGAAACATTGCACAATAAGAGAAAGTTCCACATGCTCCCCCAAAAAGTTGATTTTTTGAGATTATACATACTTAGTAGAGATGGGCGAAAACTTTTAAACCGTTTCAGCTATTTAGTTTATCTTTAAACTTTTGTTATTGAAATCCCAAAATACTTTATTTTTGTCCAACTACGAGCATGTCAAACTATCCGAAACTTTGCGTTTGTTATTTGCCACCTTGTAGAAAAGTAATCTGAGGTGGTTAATTTTTACGTTTTTACCTAGTTTAATCTAATTTTTTATGCAACTCTGTTTATCGAATTTTTGTCTTAAATAGTCTATGAATTCTATCGGACCAAAGAGCAGAAAAGTTATCGCTGCAAGACAAAAAAGTTGATTTTTGGAGGCAACCCTGTAAATAGAAAAAACAGCACGAAAATTAAAAATAGTTTCGAGCCATTTATTTTACCTTTAAAGTTTTGGTGTTACATTTTTTCATTTGCGACCCTGTAGAAAATTTGTCTGCTATGCGTAATATTTATTAAAACATTTACGAACAAAAACCAAATGGAGCTTGATGAGGCTTCAAACAGTAACCAAATCGCTTGAAGCAATCAGAATTTATCCACTTCCAAAGTTAGGGCGAATTCGTGTAACGTTCATTTTGTTGAGCAGTTTAGTTAAAACATGTATAATTGACAAAGTAGAAACTAAATTTTCCCCGATAAAATAGATTTACTTCTTGGCTTATATAAACTGCATATGAAAATACCTTTAAACTGATCAATAAGCCTACGAAGCGTAAAAATGGCTTCTCGAGGAGACGATAAACAAACATTGTCTAGACTGATCAATATACTGGGTGGTCATTTTCGAATCAAAACTTTAACCGTGCACATCAATGAATAATTGATGCATTTCCATTAAAAAATGAAACTTGTAGATTTAATTTTCTACAACTGCTGAAATGGTTTGACGAAAATGTGCAGATGTAAACAGTGGTTGTAGTTTTGCAATGGTAATTGCACTTTCAAGCCCACTCGGTAATTTCCGAACAATGCTCCTTTCGGCCTAAGCACCTGCTTAAGAACTGTTGAATTTAGGCCATTACGACAAAATGTGGTTGACGCTCCACGTGTTAAAACCAAATTTTAGGCGGAACTTTAAATATTAATCAATACGTAAGTACTATTCGTTGAAAATAGGTAGTTTGCATATTACACATGAATCATCATAATCATTTAGAAAAAAATGATCACACATTCTGGTCTACTTTGACTTTCTTTTTGCTTATTAAATACTTAAGTACATTTTAAACATTAAATAAAAAACCTTTACTCAATAATCTCTATATGTATAGTCCATATAGTCAATTTAATTTCAAGTAGTCACCAAAAGGCAGAACACTAAAATCTTCTAATCGTCATCCAGCTAATAGTGATTAACAGCATTAACTAATTAAAACTATCGCGTTGATGAGTATATATTGGGTGTAACTTAATATATTCTGTGCTAAACCCACAATGCAATTATTAAGATATCCTTGAAACTGCATTGATTAACAATGTTTATTTATTTATTTTATAAGGCAAAAGATGTTCTCAAGGCAAAATTGAACGGATAGAACACTGCCCATCAGCAATTATGGCAGATTTAATAGGTCGCTGCAAATAGACAGCCATATCCGTTAGGATGTTTCGATACAATGAGAAACGACCAATAACAATACAAGGAGATTAATAAAGTTTTGGTACAAGTAATTCAAATAAGTCGGTTTCAATGTTTACCATTTTAGTTATCAGCTATTTTTTGCATGTTTATTCCTGACAGCACTTTGTGTAATATCATATCATCTATAAAGCGATAAGAAAAAGTACTCAAATACGTTGGTAATTGAATGATAGTGGCCAAACACGGTTTGATTTCATCTATTCGGAATGGGCGTAGATGTTATTCACATTTAACAGTGAATTCGTTAAAATAATGAGTTCATAAATTTTAAAGTAACGTCGGTTAACCTGATTCACATCTGAATTTTTAATTTTACAAATCCCACTTGCCGAAATTATGAATTGAGTCGACAGTTTGAATAGACTGGGTACGATTTTACTCGAACATTTTAAAAGTTTAGTTACTGAGAGTCGTATCGAAAATGACATGAAAAGTATTTATAAATAATGAATAAGATTCCTAGCAAGCGATATGCATATTTAAGTTTATAAATCAATTCTTCTTATTCGTCTCAGGTAAACAGTCACTGAAAGTTCCAAGATCAGTGAGTGAGTAGTCACGCCACATTTAAACCGTTCCGTTACTTGCCTAAATATTTATTATTTGAACGTTCAATTGACTTAATAAAGTATTTACTTTCTGCAGAAAGGTCTATTTATACATTTTTGTACAAAATGTATATGTACAATATTCCTTGAAAATTGATGATAATGCTCACATAGTATGTAAGTAAGCGTATTACGGTTTAGATTATTGTGCTTACAACGACATGGATCGATTATTACCTCAATTGTGAATACCGACATTTATTTGAGTACTTTCGTCGAATATCGGCATTCCAAAATTTTCGGTTTAAATATTCTCCATAACGTATAAATTAGCTGAAGCAATAAATTACGTAGATTACTTCGTAGATAGCTTAGTTAATGCTTGAGGCGATTTATATGTCATCATATAAGCATAAAAACCTAAATAATTAAGAAACAGTTAACTGAAAAAAAAACGAAGTACAATTGCAAATTATCTATGACAATATTTTAATTAGAACTCCGGGTATATTATTTTGTCATTGGAAATACATGATCTTTGCGAATATTGTTTGTCCTTACAACAGTATTCAAATTATGGTTGGTTTTTGTAGAGATCTGTCACAATTTATGTATTATTTGAAAAAATACTGCTTTGCTCTAAAGCAATTTTATCTAATGATGGTATATAAATGAACCGTAAATAAGTAGGTACCTAATAAAAAAATTAATGTGAAATTTTAGTTTAATTGGTAAACCCAGATCAATTTCAAATCGAACCACAGTCAGGAAAGAGCTTTTTTAATTATATAACCAATAAAATAAGACACTAACAAAACTAACTGAAAATTCCTTGATGGAATTGTTGCGGCTATATTTTTGTATCAGAAATATTTCATTTCCGTCACAATGTACCTATGTAAGTGTGTATGCTCAGAAAAAAATACAACCACGGTTTGTCGAAAAACATCTTAAATTTTACTGGATGTTGGATTTATAAATAAACCGTTTCGCAAGTACTAAAAAGATTGATGTGAAACTTTCGTTTCAATTAACTGAAAACCGAGGAAGGTCGAACCATTTTAAACCGATCAGGAAGAAGACATTTTATTTAATTATAACTGAAAGCTCGCAAATGGAATTTTGGGCATATTTTTGCCTAAGAAATAATTGAATTTTGTTTAAATGTATGTAGACTTTTAAAAGAAATAATAACAAAGTTTGTCGTAAAAATAGTGAAATTGTTCATAATTACTGTGGAAAAATTTCACCTGATGTGAATTTTTGTTTTCAATAGACGGAAGAGTCATTTTTTAAATGCAACTAAACTACGAATAAAATTTGGTTAATGGAATTGTCGTATTCGACCCAAATGTAGGTACCTAAACTTAATCTAGAGATAGGAATAATGTAGGCAAAAATAATAAAATGCGGGTATAATGCAGCATATTTATCAGGAATAAAATGCAAGTAACAATGACAAAACATCGCCTTGAATTGGGTTTAACTATATAAATGAAGTAATGAGTATACAGGATGTCCCAGAATTAAGTTGACCATCGTTTCCCATAAGGTTCTATAAATTTTACTTCTATGGCCTTCCTAGGTAGACCTTGAAAACACGCAACTTTTTAACATAATTCGTACAATGAAATACTGTTCTTTATATCATTTACATCAGTTGCTCATCACAGCAACTACCTCTGAAGATGAAGCCAACTCGTGATTGGGAAACGTCTGGCAATATTTATTTTCCACGACGGACTAAAAGTCCGAAAAACTCTCTTGTTGCAAGCCTAACTCTTTTAAGAATCCAAGATTGTTGCGTCTTCCAAAAACTTGAAAATTTGTAAAAGTAAGTTAGTTAAAGGTGCCCTAAAACTGAACGATTTTTAGCAAATGCACTCTCAGTTTGAAAAATTAAAAGTTCAAACCTAGAACCCATAGCAATTTACAGGTCGACTCCTAACAATAAAGAGAAAAAAGGGCGTAGGTAGGTACTCATATTAAATATCTTGTCCATAACTATCACTGAAGTCCAGTTTGAAGAGGTTCGTTGTACTTTTCTTAAAAATATATTTGCAACTTTCAGCAATAATATTTCGATATTAGGAGCCTGTAGGCCTGAGAAGGTAGACAGAAAAATAAGTTACAGAAACTTCTCATACTTTGTTGTGGCTACTATCTAAATCTGAGAAATTTAGTGCACTTATTCCGGAACATCCTATAGGTTTTGAAGTTCCTCAAAATATTTGTAGGTAAATACTTCGTTCCCGTAAACTCTTATGGAGACTTGATTCTAAACATGTCTATCTATATCTTTCAAGCAATAAACACTCATGATAAGGAAATAGGATAAATTCAGCTTGAGCGTGACGATTCAGGGCTTTGTTTGGAGGAGTATCAGAATAGCTGTTTAAAATAGTTAACGAGACAATAGATTAATGTAGCGGTCTCAGAAAAATTTCAGAAGCTCCATTTCGGCATAGTTACTTGCACTAGGCGAACTGGCCCAGCTAGCATTAATTAGAGAATCAGGTGTTTGCTTACATATATGAGTCCTGAATAATACCGATCCTTGAGGTTGTGAAGTACACAGGCCTCGTTCAGGCAAGTTAGCTCAGCCATATCCTCTACCTTGTCAAACTTGGGTGGGTTCATTTTTTGGATATCATCCTTAGCAACTGTGGTTCTTTTCCCAGTTTCTTGCAGATCCACCTCAACTTCGTCGCCCTTTTCGCCCTTTATGGAGGCCGCCACGAATCCTTGATTTTCATGGGGCACCCAGACGAGTCGTTTCTGAGTCCACTCAGCCTGAGTGGCCGGATCATTGTAGTTATTTCTATCAACACACAGGTGTTTCAGTTCAGGATCGTAACGATCCTTGGCATCCGCGTCCGCCATGGCTCAAGATAAACCAAACAAAAAAATTCACTTTCTTGATCAAAATTGTATTTCGGTCGCTATTTGCGTCACCTATATCGATAAATATTCATTGGTCACTATAGTATAAAAATATGGCTTATATTTATTGGAAATTTTCGGGAAATTTGGATTATTTTAGTCCCGGACCGGTTTAATCCGCGTATTCAGTGTACTCGCGATATGCGAAATGACAGTAGCCGAGCTGTTAACCGTCTTTTCGACCGCGCCCGTGTGTTACCAACCGAGTGTATGGGACTAGCGGCGTTGCCGATTTGATGACTTATTTATCCTTACAACAACCTTATATCAGACAAGGGATAACTTATTAGGATTATTTCTTGTCTCTGCTTATATCTTAAAGTGCACATGTTTTTACTTTTATATAATTTTTTTCAAAAACATTGCCTAAAACAGTAAACATTACATTAACACATCTGACAGTATTGTTAAGTGCAACTGACTCTAGACGTCAGTATTGACATTAACGTTTACGTAGGTAGGCATCCAAAGTTCAGTAATTCTTGTGTGGAAAAAAAGAAGGTAAATTTTTAGTTTACCAAACAATCGCATTTAAAGTTAGCAATATGCGCCCTTTATAGATAATCCCTTTGCTAACAACTTTTTATAGTGATGTTTCTTGTAAAACTGCGGTTTTCGTCAAATTTTCACTCGTATATCTAATTTGCCTTTCACTAGACGCCACGTCAACGGTACCTGTCACACTGATAACGTCGAAGTTGGGAAGTTTTTAGGGATTTTTACTCAATACAAAACTATTTTTTCTCGAAGTTTACACTTTGCTTCAGACAAACGATGCTTTTATCTGGATTTCATCAGTATGTGGATGATACATCCGTCATAGTATGTGAGGAACTTGGGAAGAACTTTTCTCGGGGTGAACCGGCGCAGCTCAAGAAATGATTTACTGGCGCATAAATAGAAACTTTCGTCTCAATATAAATAAAACAGAACTTATATTTTCAAATTATCTAAATATCTTGGAATCAATACCGAAACATTACTTAGATTTTGCATTTTGATATTGACCAAAAACTTGAAATTCAACTTGATAGTCAGGGGGATAGATAGATCAAACATAACGTTCTGACTATGTTTTAGTCGTCATCAATATTCGTCGATATCGTATAAAATGAGATTTTAAAGAAAACAGCATAACAACTACAAATATAGCAACAAAATCATAGAATTTTAATTAAAAAAGAACATCAAACAAATCTTATTTTTAATTTGCTCTTAACGGTTTTCGATGTAGATATGTGTTTGTAGTGCTGATTTTGAGTTCGTCTGTTGCTCCTCTTCTAAAGATGTTCTCTTTATTTGCAGATCCCCGGTGATGACTAAAGTATTGCCGAAACTTTGGCACAATAGAACAGTGTTTACCGTGAATATTTTATAAAAAACCCCCACTTATTTAACAATTTCATTAAAACTCTCTTGTTGAAATTAAAATTTCTATAAATAATAATAGATTATTGAGTTCAAAAAATTAAAACGGCCTAAAATGAGCTAAAGATATCGATTATTTCGGATTTAAAACTTCGGGCGTGTTTTTCAAAAGACTCGTATTAAAAGTTATTAGAATAAAAATAAAAAATTCCCATGCGTGGTATTTTAGCACAATGGATTATTTCCCACCTAATAAGTTAGAAACCCCCAGCTACATATTTAAAGAGTTTGAGTCCATAATAAGGAAAATATTATCGGTTAAAAAAAACGAATATTTCGTATCTATCGGATCTAATGCTTCTGGTGGATTTTTCTTTGAGCTTGTTGCATTTCTCGCTTCACGGAGATGAAAATGTTGAAGTATTTGAGGTATTTTGAGCAAATTCGTATTTTTTATCAACATCAACCTTGGCAAATTTCATATAAAAATCAAACATCTTTTTTTCAAACATCTCAAATTATATTGAAATTGCGGATTCCAAACAGTTTCAAAAATCATAAAATTACACTTTCACTTCTGATTTCTATATTATTTTTACTGATTATAATGTTGCAATTTCACATTTTAGATTTGTAAAATTTATATGTAGAACCTTTGCTCTATGAAATTCGCAGAATCGAAATATAAAAAAGGATTAAAAAGACAAAATAATATAGAAAAAATTTAAAAATCGGATAAGAAGCGACCATGATTTATCTCTATTTTTCCAAATTAATTACGATACTAATGACTTTTTGATATATTTATATATTTATTTTATTTATTAGTCATTACTGCAAGCATCAATAAATTGTCATCTCAAATATTTAGAAACACATGATATGAAAATGAGTGATTCTGATAAACAGTAGTTTTCTGTGGCAAATGGGCAACGTCGCCAACCAAATAATGGCGGTAACTTAAAAGAATACCAAACCGAGTATGCAAAATTTCCAAAGCAAAACAAGAAAATTTACATTCAGATAAGACGAATCCACAATAGCATTCCAAATACTGTTCGCTTGATGTGTGCATAAGTAAACGCTCAATTCTTTCCAATTAAATGATACATTATTTTTAAAATAATTTAAAATTTTGTGGTTTTCTTGCAAAACCGGTATGTAATGACCCAAAATTGAGGATGATGTCATACGGACAATATGCGAATTTATATGCTCAAGTAGCTTTCTCAAGTACTGATTGCTTATAGCGATTAAATTTGTTTGGCTCAGATTTTAAAATACATAAGAGCCATAAACCAGATATTTTATAAAATGTTTCATACCCTTTTATTGAAGAAAAATTGTAGAAAATGTAGAAAGATTTTTCAAATGGACTAATTAATTATTTTTTTTGCAGAAATAAAGTGGGATATTTAATAATTAATTATTAAATAATATTAACTTTCAGGTTTTGCTGGGTATCAAAGAGCATCGTTAGACTCGTCAGATGGAAAATAATCGAAAATGTTGACTGATTTTAAGTGGTTTAAGCGGAAATAAGTTAAAAAAATATATTTTTTTTCAATTTCGGCTGTTCCAATGTTTTTCTTTTGGTGCTTTTTGAAAAGTCGCGTTGTTTCAAACGAAAAAGGAGAAAAAAAATCTTCAAATTCAATAAAGAAAACTAGATACATAATGAGATTAATAATTTTCAATCGAATTTAAAAAAATACATATAGTTCAATTGCAACTAAGATATGCAAATTTGCGATAAAAAATAATAAATTTTCAATACAAATACCTATCGTAGTGATTAGATGAATCAAAATAAGAAACATGTGCCGGATCGTTATATCGTAACATTTGAAGGCAAAACCTCGACCGACAATGACGCAGTTACATTTATTTCATAATGATTTTAGCCATATTTGGTATCAAAATCTACAGAATACCTTAGCCGCGTTTTTTTATTGAACGATTTTTTGCAATCGCCATGGATGTGTAAACAGCAGATCATTTCAATCGTCTTGAAAAGTATCTAAAGTTTTATTTGAGTAAATAACATGTTTTAATACAATACAGTTATAGATTTATATACTTGTAGCGCGAATTGAAATCTAGCCAATTCAGAGTGATTAGCTTAATTGGGTTAGAGCTTATTACAAAGATTATTTTGCAACATACTTGTGTTGATTCAAATTGATCATTTTTAGCAATAAAAGCAACCGGACTGAGTTAATGATTCCCAAGTACAACGATGCATAGGAATTTCACATGAATCAACAAAAGAGAAATTAAGAACAGTAACTTACTTGCCTTCAATTTCTTCTGCAGTATTTTTGTCTGAAGATGTCCTTAAGCGCTTTGCTCGTGGGGATTGCAAATTCACCAAACCGCGGTTGCTTTTGGATATTTTCTCCAAGTTTTCTCGTATTTTTGCAACGCTTACGAGTGGAATGATTTCCTCCGAACCTGACATGATTCTAAACGTTTTGACATGAAAAAATAAAAATATACTTTGACATGATAATTACGCAAATACAGGGCATAAATAACAGGCAATGAAGTCAAGATATCAGTTTATTTCATTCAACTGGTTAAAAAATCAACTTTAAATAACTAGTTAGTCACAGCAATAAAGAATGAATTTTGTCCAACAGCTTATAAAACGATTCACTGCTATACAGTATCCACATCCTCCTTAATTTTATCAGGCTTTTTGTCTCCAATAAACGAAGTTTCCACAGATATTGCTGAAGTTTGTACAATGTTTTCTGTTTTCGGCTGAACGGGTTCACTTACACTCAAATTACTTAATGCTGCTGCGCTTGATATACTTGGTTCATCCTCGCTTCTAGGAGTTTGAGGCCTAGGTAGAATGCTTATTTTAGGAGCCATATCGATAAACGAACTAGGCCCTTTTTTTATTAATTCCAGAGGTATTTCTTCAGATCTCGGACGAGGCATTCTAGGAGATCCGTCGCGTGACTTTGTCCGACTGGATGAATTCTCTCGGGATCTCATCTCTTTTCGAATATTATTGCTTGTAATCGCTGAGTTAGGTTCCTTTTTGACGCTGGATAGCCTGTTAGGACTATTACCTAAAAAGTAGGTCCGGTTGCAAATGTATTGTAATTTTGTCTATCTATGTTTTCTCCGTTTAGAAGCACTGAATATTTTAAACGTTGAGAGTTGGGACAATTATTTATGTGCAAAATGTGGGGAATGTTGAAAAAAATATTCTCTTAAAGGTCTTACCATCACGATGTCTGCGAGAGTCGTCTGCTCTATGTAAAACCCCCGGTGAACTTTCCCTTTTAGGAGCAGCAAACCCTGGTACTCTACTGTTTCCAAATAATGGCCTACTGTCGCGAATATTCCTGCTAGCTAAGCGAAATCCGTACATTCCCTGGCCAGTAAAAGCTGGGCTTGGTGGACCCGATTGTCCAGGGATTTCCAAGAGACGAGCTATGTGTTGCATTTTCTTTTGCCTAGCTTTGATCCGACCCTAAAGCATTTCATTTCTCAACTATAAGTTCGAACTGCATTGCATATCTTGAATTTGCATTTATATTTCATATACTTATACTTACTAACTCCCAAATTGGTTTACATCTAATAACTAAAATTTTTTTGCTTTTTTACAAGGACTTCAAAATGGTTTTCAGATTGAAAATAAAACCAGAATAACACTTGATACACATTGCAATAAAAATTCATTTGACATGCAGGTATAATTTTTTGTAACGCTAGCTAAAGTTTGAGTGTTTTCATCATTAGTCTATTCGCGAACAAGTGAATAGTGTCCAAACTGTTGTTAGTGAGACTTTTTCGACGTATTCCGAATGAACACTTACATTTTCTTCGTAAGATACATGTTGGAATTGTAATATTAAAACGCTATAGTGTTTAAAATCTACCTCCTACCTTGGTTAGTCGTTGCTTTGCCGCCATACATCTAATATTATCATCAAACAGAAATTTAGCACTCAAAAGTGGCACCCGGTTTGTCGTCGCACCAGATATTGGCCTGTGAATAGTGATGTGTAAACATCGGGAATCATCTTTATCGCCACTGACTTCAATATCCTGTAGAAACCCAACCAACTTAGCTACACCCCAACCGAGCCTGAAACAAGAAGCCAAGATGAAGAAAAATCAGTGAAATAAAAAACCTACAATATACCTTTTATTATCCGGTTCCACAAGTATTAACTGCATTACATCTATTACTAAAAACCGGCGCATCTTCATACCGTCTTTGTACAAGACTGTACAGGCAATCAGATCCGAATTATCTGAAACAAATTAGAGTTTTATGATCAGATTTATCTGCTCTGATAACCAGTGAATGAAGCAACCCTAGATCGAGGAAGAAATGCGCTGCATTTTTAATAAAGCGATAGCCAACAAAGGATAGATGCAAAAATCGGACAAGAAGTGCTAGTAGAATATTTAAATTAAAATCACAAAAAGCCTATTACTAGAAGAGCAGATTTTATATCAGCAGCCAAGCACTTAAAGGTATTTGAAGATACAACAAAAGGATTTTTTTCGCAAGAGATTCAGAAATTAATGGCTTGCCTTTCAGTCTCTTCAAGCTTGCAAATGATATGTACTTATCTCCCTTATCACCATAAAACTATTAGCAAATACTACGGCATGCGCTAATCGGAACCACATAAACAACAGAAAATACTAGAGATTGCTTAATTCACGTGGTTTAGGACACACAACGAGATATACTCAAGTCCAGCGCCTGCTCAATCTGCACACAACTTTGGGGATTTGTTAAAGGCAACTGGGTCTCCATTTCGCCATTTAATGTTAAAACGGCATTTCGCATCAAGAAAAATAAGCGAATTGCTCTTCTGGCCTTTTCACTCTGTAACAAACACTTTGTGCCACATTACTGAACAGTTTCAAAAATATTCAACAATATTTAAATTAAATTCGCCGTACCTCGCCGCATGGTAGTCTCTTTATGAAGTCAATTCCAGTCATTGGAGTACCGGTGGGTGGCAGAAGTATAGCGCTATCCATACAAAGCCATTCAACATTTAACGAAGATTTCGACATATCGCAGTACCTAAAAACAAGGCTCATTAAAAATGGTGGTCACTGAAGAGCAAGTACTACCTACTCGTGTTCGAACATGTCCAAAAATATTTCCTCGCTCTTATAAAAATTCCTCAACAACGCCATACTTTGAGATTTAACAGACTCAATCACCTGTCTATGTGGTTCGAGAAGTATATTTTTTCCATCACAGATTACTAGCTGCAAAATCAATTTTAAACTCACTTCCAAAGTGGCCAGTCTCACTCTGCAATGAAAATGTATGTATTATACTAGTAAAAAACTCTCAACCCGAGCATGAATTTTGTAGCACTTACCTACACGTGGGCTGGCAAGCTGACGATATGATTGAAAGAAGCTTTTCCAGGAGATACACATTATAAGAGTATTTTATATCTTTTGATGATGATTTTGATATGAAAGATTTTTTTGGCTTCAGAGCTTGCTCTAGGACGTCAGACGTTACACCTACACAAAACAGCCAAGTATAAATACGAAATAACAAAGAAAGCCTTTTCACAATACCTTTATTATTTGCCATTGCGTAGAGCAAGCAAAGAGCAAATAGAGCAGCATAGTCATTTTCAGAACAGTCCAGGGCACTGTAAACTGTCTCCAAAAACGGTTTTTCGGTAACAACACTATCACATGGGTTTTTAGCAAGTTTTTCCTTCTCTTCATCTGTAATATTTCGCAGATCTTCCACTAGCATTTCTTTAGAACTTGAACTTTCTTTTGAACTTAATCCACTCGCTTCATCGCTTAAACTCTCATCCAGCAATTTCTTCTCCAATTCATAATGCTCTAGTAATTTATTTACACCTAAAATTACAACCAAGTTAGTTAAATGGAACAGACAATGCCAGAAAAATACCTTTTTCAAACACTGTCCGATCAGTTCGTAATATTATACAAGCCAGTGTCTGAACCAAAGGAGAGTGTGCTATAATCAAAAAGACCTGTGATAGTAAAAATAGAGCCACTACGCAAGAGACTCTGCCTGTTGTTGGGTCTTGTAATCGGGGCGAATCCGGTCCTGCGGAAGCTAAAATAGAACCAATTGAAAATGTGTATTCACAGCAAATGTAAACTTACTTTTGGATAAGATTTTGGCTACTGTATGATTTACTCCTTCGGGTATCGATGATTTTCTCCTGTGCGACGCAAGGGAATATATGTAGAGAGGAATTAGTAACTTGTGAAGTAAATGATCCGTGAGAACATGGTTCAAGTCCGTTATATTAAGGCAAAGAATGTCATTTAAATAGTGTAGATGATCGAGATGTTCAGCTACCAAGTCAGCCAGTCTGTTTTGTGAATGATGGCTGAAAATATTCAACAAACTATACTGACGATTTTTATAACTCAATTCACACTCACTCTGCTTCATTTCGAACGCATATATCCAACTCTTGGATGTGTTTTCCTATAAACCAAACAATGTTGGAAAAATACGGAGCGGCAGTTCGATCTCTGATAAAAGCTATCATGCTGGCATCTTCAACCTTATATACGTTTAAAGTTAGTGTTCGCACAGCAATTCGCACCATGGATTCAGGATGATTGAAAAACTTTATTGCTTCAGTGTACAGAGGAAAATCATTGGTGTGCTGCAAAGTGCGACGCGATCATTCAATAATCACTGTATTAATAATTCAAAGTAGGTGCTTACTTCATTGTAGAAAAAGTGAATCGTGTGAGCATTCAGTTTCAGGCTAAGAGTTTTCAAAAAGGAAATGTAGTAAGCCATTACTTCTTCATCTGAGAAATCAAACTTATGAACAATTATGGAGTTTACATGGTTATTTGATAACAAGTAATCTGAAACAGAATATACATTTATAATAATGCCAGTAAAAGACAAAGCAAAATACTTACATAAAGATGTTTCGTTTCTAATATTCTCAAACAGTATGTTTAGAGTTTGCAAAAGCTGAACACAGACATAATTAGAGCCTCCGCTTCTTTGTCTCATTATGCGTAAAAAAAACGACAACATGTTTTTTTCGAGGAAGAAACTGAAAAAGGCAACGACTTTAAATTTATCTGTACAGGTGAAATGGAAACTTGCTTCAACATTTTTGGTTTTGATTGTGTATACAGGGTGGTTCAGTTTTAGTCTGCGAGACTTTGAACAGAATATGCGTTCAAAATCTGAAAAACACCGCGAAAATTTTATTTTCGCAAAGTTTTTTTCGTTTATTCGTTTGTTGAGCGTTTGTGAAATTTTTGTCTGAAAACAACTGAATGAAGTAGCTCATAGATACTCCTTTCTTTAATTGAAATGGTATCCCGATTTCTTTTATTATACTGGTTCAGTCAAATGTAACTATCATAATAATGAAATTGAACTCAAAACTGTGTTAGTAAAAGTTCTGGCCTTATTTTCAGGTATTCTGTACGACCTATCAGTATCGAAAATACCTTTTCGACTAAGGCATCATCTATCATAATTATGAAGTCGAGTTTTAGCTCAGATTAATTATTGCAATGGTTTTGGGGTTTCGCGTGTTTACCGCCTGAAAATCCTGTTGTAGGTGGTCCCCACGGTCAAACGTTTTAAAGTCGTTTCCCTATACACTAGCGGATATGTCTTCCAGCTAATTTCTCAAAAAATTGAAAAATAAATACACAGTCGACAGAGGCAGTTTTGAGCTGCCCCCTCCTTTAGGCGACTCTTTTGGACTTTCGTGTATGCGACATATATGTAATATTTTTGGGTGTCGAAGACTCACAGATTGAATTGATACACCCCATGATACAATGAATACGTGTATTCATTGTATGTATTCAATGTATTCATTGTATCATGGATACACCCTGTATACTTTCGCCTATGTATGTAGTTCACATGACAGTGTCTTTAGATGTATTTCTGTTGTTCTGCAAAATGGTTATTCCAATTCATAAACAAACATTATTATGCTTATAAATAAATAACGATTTGTGAAGTAAATTGATGAGAAGAAACAGCTTACTCAAATACTGAGGAATCATTTTGGTCCCCCCAAATTAAGATTTCAGCAATGGATCTCAATGTTTCAACGAGCAGGCCTCGATTGTGTTCTGAGACAGTTTGATTTCGCGATAGCACATTGTATAAATATTTCAAGTGTTCCAGAGAATGGAGGTTCTTCGGTCTGCCCCATCCACCTCCAAACCAACTTCGACTTCGAAACATCTGAAGAATTTTATCGAAAACACCACCACTCGATTACTGAATGAACTGAAGGTTGTTACTCGACATTACAATACTGCGAATTTTAGCTGCAGATACGCAATTTGAAATGTATAATTATCAATAAGATTTAAATGTTTGAAAAGTTTTGAAATGCGAATGGAGTTTTGTTTTGATTGACACATAAACCTAGAGAGATATCTCTGGAGATATGTCACATGTTTACTGTCAAAGCATAGTCTCACGGTTGGAGTGCGTTCAATTCCAGTCTGGAGTGGGTGTTTGGACGGATGTTTACGGTGCAGTTGATTTTTTTCTAGGACATATTTTGTAGGTATTTGTGTTACGTTTTTATTGGTTTTCAAGTTGAACACGCGCCTCTTGCGTTCGAAGGTAACAATATGGGTAATTTTAAGGGGCGTCAGGCCTGGCTTTTAAAAAATGTGCCCATTACATAAGTAAAAATATTACGATAAACTTTCTTGATTGCTACTGGAACTTCAGCGTGGAAAGGAATAAATCTTGAGAAGCATTTTTTGTCTCTTGTTCAGAAAGGCTGTATGAAAACTCCTACTTAAACCTTAACATTTTTCCGGAACTTTTTTCAACTCTTAACTTTTGTATTTGTCGCAGTATTAAGAGAATTCCAGAAAACAATACGATATGTTTAAATTTTAGAAAAAAGAAGCCAGGAGAGGAAACATTTTACCAGTTTTATTGGTGGCGTACATATACTTTGTTTAAATATATTTTGTCCATGTAGGCGTCATTACTGATGATTACCGGATATTTTCTTTTACTCAAGGCTTGGTTTAAGTTCATGAAATCAAAATATTTGAAAATTGCTCAATTTTGAGTGAAACACAAAATCGGCTACCGAGTTTTTATTAAATCTATCGAAATTCGATTTTCGAAATTGACAACGCTGCATAAAATGATCTACCTACCACCAAAGAGTAGGTAATATGTCGCCTACTGTTTGATACGGACGAACTACTCACAGATCACAGAGTAACCTCAGATCCCACCATCACATGATGACAGAGTAGTCACTAGATCACAGAGTAACCTGTGTGATCTGTGTGTGTGGATAGTCAGAGAGAGAGTCTTTATCTATGGTCAGAGATAGTCACAGATAACTAACTGCAGATAACCGCTTGGTGCTACTAAAAAGAATAGTGCCTTTGCTTGTGTATGCATAACGTTTGTTTATTTATTATTAAGTTTTGTGACTTGTGGTTATTATCCGTCACCGTATTAAACACCAAGAATTGTATCTTAACGATGGCGGATATATCAGATAACAACGTGGAGATAATTACAGATAATAACGTGAAGATTACAAGAGCTAACAACGTGCAGCTGACCACAGATAATAACGTGAAGATCACAACAGATAGTAACGTGGAAATGACCACAGATAATGTGAAGATCACAACAGATAAAAACATGGAAATCACAACAGATAATAACATGGAGGTCGCAACAGATAACGTGGAGATCACAGCAGATGACACCGAGTGGAGTGTTATGAGCTGTAGTGCATGCAATATCACTGAAATGGAATTTTTTGAAATTCTTCGAGATAGGGAATCTCTCTTAAACTTTTTTTTTTGTCACAATGTTTTGACTTGCCATACGCGCTGTAAGTGCGGGGCTCTGTTGAATCCTACTGAGGACTCTGTCAATCATTTCATATTTCGTTGCCGAAAAAAGAATCTTAGAAGTTACAGGAAGTGCAAGACAAATTTTACGATTTTGAAAGGAACTTTTTTTGAGAACTCAGCTCTCTCCCTAGGAAAAGTGGCTCATCTTGTTATGCTCTATCTGTGTCGGCCTTCCCCTCGATATCGTTATATTTGCGTGGAATTGAATTTATCTATTCAGACAGTATCCAAATGGTTTTCTCATTTTAGAGATATATTTATTTTTTGGGTCAACCAACAGTCCTCACAAATTGGCGGTGAGGGTAAAATTGTTGAAATTGAGTGGTGTAGTGGAGGTCATCTTGTCGAAGGTCCATGGATTTTTGGGGGAATCGAAAAAAGTACGGGGCAGTTTTTTGTTGTTCCAACTGAAGATTCATCATCAGCAACTTTTCTACATATTTTCCAAGAGAAAGTTAGACCTGGATCTACTGTTGTTAGTGATATTTGGAAACCTAGCGAGTATCTTGACGACGAAGACGTTCATAATCTCACAGTCAATTATTCAATGAATTTTGAAGATTTGCAAATAGATTTTCCGTGCTGGGCGAACGTGAGGAGGTTGATTCCTAGAAAGGGGCGTAGGAAAAAATACTATTTAGGCTATTTATCTGAAGCCTTGTTTATGGTGCATTATCCGATTCATACGCAACGATTTCACAGTTTTTGGGTTAGTGTGGGCCGAATGTATCCTCCAATCACTCAAGCCTAATAATTTTCGTCTTGCAACAACCATTTCTTGTTATTTCCGAATTATGGTGCACATTTAATTTTCCCATTTCTTTGTTATTTTTGCATTTATTTTCATTTAATCCCTTATTTGCCCTGTGCGTTTCGAAATTCGTTTTTATTTTCCCTTTACATTCTCGAAAAATTTCAAAACTCCATTGTTTTTTTAATAGTTCGCTTTCGTTTACCGAACCACTTTTTCTCGTATTGACGTGTTTCTGGTAAGTGTACAACTTTAAACATACCATTTTTTTTATTGAAATATGCTACTTTAATAGAAATTCGGCAACATGTTTCGAAGTTTAATAAATTGCTGCTTTTTGCTCTGCACTGGCACGGTGAAAGGTTTACACCGTAAACTTATTTAACGTGGTTTTTTTTCTAAAAAATTGCATTCTCAATGAGCAAGAAGCAATCGAAGTGCACATTTACTTTATAATTTTTTTTATTAATCCAAATCCACAATTATCTTTAGGGCTTGCATTTTGTTTAAGTTCAAACCCCAGGCGTATTAACTTGAAAATGACCAATTTTTTATTAATTATTTTCTATATAATTATGTATGCAGCTATTTGCACCAAAGCTGGAATTCGACAATTTGACGATAGTTATCCAATCACATTTACAAGCAGCGATGCCAGGACTGGCGATTTTTCGGTAGAAATGAAGGAATGAAACCAATTTGTGAAGTAATCTATTGATTCACCGATTTCATGTATAATATCTTTTCTATATAAAAAAGTTTGGGTTTAGTTTATTTTATTATTCAAAAAATTTACTACCCATTTTTTGCGAAATTTTCTTAAAGTATGTCAGTGACGCAATAGTTGTCTTTCTTTTTCTATTCCTTGTCCGTTATTAATCAAATGTGTGTTCATCAAATTGTTACAATTCGAATAAGTATGGAAGAATATTGAAATTATTGGTTTGATTTCTGGGCAAGTATTGGCAGTTTCTGTGAATTATTCAAGTTATCATTTTAATTTACCGATACATTTACCGCAATATTGTGAGGGCAAACAATCGTTTGCTTTTTGTAAACATTTTGCTTATATTTTCATCAACATCGCTTAAATCTTGTATGAGTTCCTCATTTTTTTCTTTATGTTCTTCATAATTTGACTGCAGGTTTGCCACCACGACAATAACACACGTTAACACCCACAGTTAACGCCAAGAACTGCACATTTGAGGCAAATTAACTATGGAACTGGAGAAAGTTATTTATTTCCCCAATTAAATGTTTACATTCTGCAGATTTTACCTCACCTTTAATTTTATAGAGTAAAATAAAATGTCTGCTCACACATAACGCACGAATATTTGATTTTTCAGCAAATCAAAATTATTTTTTAAATTTCTCTAAAATCGCACAAATTTGTTCACAAATTTTTTACAAAATATAACGCAACGTGTCGGGCTTATGCACCGAAAGTCGATTGTCGGAATTGGCAACATTGCGTAAAAATAAACTACGATGCCTCACCTAAACGATAACGTTGTTTCCATCATAACCACAGAAACAAGGAGATTTTAATAGATAGTAAAATTATATTTGAAAATGGCCCATACAACAGACGAAAGTGCCTGGAGCGTTGTGAGGTGTAGGGATTGTAATATCACGGAGACCGAATTTTTTGAAATTCTTCTAGATAGGGATTGTCTTTTAAACTTTTTTTATCAGCACAGTGTTCTGACTTGCCATGCACGCTGTAAATGCGGGTCTATAATGAACCCCACTGAGAAATCTGCCAACCATTTGGTATTTCATTGTGAAAGGACAAGTCCAAGTCCTGAAAATGGCAGGCAATGCGATACAAGTTTCACAATTTTAAAGGGAAGTTTTTTTGAGAAATCAGCTATTACCCTGGAAAAAGTGGCCCGTCTTGTTATGCTCTATCTATGTCGGCCTGTTCCTCGACATCGTTTTATTTCAGCAGAAACAAACTTGGATTCTCACACTTTAATCAATTGGTATTCTTCGATTCGAGAAGTATTTATTTTCTGGGCCGGTCAACAGTCTTCACAGATTGGTGGCGAGGGTGAAGTAGTTGAAATTGAGTGGCGTAAGGGAGGTCGCCTCAAAGATAGTCCATGGATTTTCGGGGGAATTCAAAGGAGTTCCGGCCAGTTTTTTGTTGCTCCAACTGAAGATCGATCATCAGCAACCTTTCTACACATTTTCCAAGAGAAAATTAGGTCTGGCACGACTGTAGTCAGTGATTGTTGGAAACCGAACGACTACCTTGATGAGGAAGATGTTTATGATCTCACGGTCAATTATTCAATGCATTTCGAAAAACCAGTGGCAGACGTACAATGGTGGTCGAAAGTGAGGAAACTGATTCCTAAGTCTGGACGTAGGAAAAAATACTGTTTGGGCTATTTATGTGAAGCCCTATTTATGGTGCGTTATCCGATTCATACGCAACGGTTTCACAGCTTTTGGACTACTGTTGCACAGATGTATCCTCCAGTGGCGCATTTTTAATTAATGTTTGGTCTCGCGGCAGCTATTTCTTCGTTTCATTCTTTTCAAATTTAATCTGGGCTATTCTGGCCGAATATCTCTTCTATCTTATTCATTTCAGTGTTGCTTCTGCAGTTCCTTTCATTTAATCTCTTACTTTATGCACAGTGCCTTTAACGATTGTTTTTTTTTATTTTTCAGTCCAAATTTCAAAATTCTTTGGTTTTGTGATATTGCTCCTTCCCTAAGCTGTTTTGTCCTGCATTTGCTTATGTCTAGTAAGTTTTCAGCTTTAAGCATTACTTTTTTGTTTTGATGGCGTTTTGCTACTTTAATGGGAATTTGACGATATGTATTGATTAAATATTGATTTTCACTCGTGAAGTATCGGCATGGTAAAAACTGTTTTCTGGAAAAATTGCAAACTTCAATGAGCGAAAAGTGCTCAAAAACCGCATCAAAACACCACTTCGAAAAGTTGTTATACTAAAGGGATTATCGTCAAAGTATGCATAATATTATCTTTGAAAGCGAGGCGTTGATAACGTTGAACCTTAAACAAAAAAAATGCAGGCTCGGCAAAGGCTAATTTGTCTATTGCGCGAATGCCCCTAATCTAATATTTAAGACGTGCGAACCTTAAAATTATTACTTCAATATTTATGACGATGTACCTATGAAACCAGGTATCGAGAGATAGCACTTTTTTATTTTTTAAATACCCTGTTAAGTTAGTTCACATCACACGTTTAGCATGTCCATATATGTGCTTGCTATTAGGAAACACCCTGTAGTATTGTCGATTTTGCCTTCTTAATTTATAAGAATTTCAAATATCGCATTTTTGTTGCCTTTTATATTAAAATTTTAAATTCCCTTCACTTTTAGTCGCAAGTGAATGGCCAAAGCTTCGTGTAAAACCAATAAGGAAAAGCTGTAAAGGCATGCTATCACTTCCTTAACATAGAAGTCTAACTGGGAATGATGTAGAATCATTGGCGCAACCGTTGCATCGATTTGTTGCAATCGACAGACCAAAAACTTAATTCCAGATATACTAGAAGTTTGCCTTTTACTTTACCGCAAATTTCTATAAACGGGACCTGTAAAATGGACTGTTGTGTAAGTATTTATCGGCGATATCACAATTGTTGCCGAGAAGCTTATCTATCACTTATGCATTTTTCCTTTCCTTTTTCGTAATAGATTTCTTTTGATTATGTCCAGTAGCAAATAGCTTTTCTTCTAATCTAACCGAAAAAAAATTAAAACGTACGTTAATCTATATGAAATATATATGATATTTTTAGGCTTATCTCTTCGTGGTATTTTGGAAAAACTATAGTGTTCTCGTTGCACTTACAATTGAAAGCTGAGTTACACTTGAAAGTATCAGTTGAAAAGTTTTCCGGGCTTACAAGTCAAGGGCGTTAAAACTGCTTCGTTGACGCTTTAAATTTCAATAGTTCAACAGCAGATGAAGCAGAGTTGTCTGTATAGTCATCTAGATGGAATACCAGATAGTGTACATTCATCTCAAATCATCCCGAAAAACACATCAGAGACATTAAAGGACAAAAAATTAACATTTATTGAAAAACCATACTCAACTAAAGTTTTACACCAAGGAGAAAATTATGATGCAAGCGTTTGGAGTCAATATACGAAAATGGCAACAATTAGACCACATCAGTTAAAAAGAAATAGTGCATAGAGAAACAAATCTTACCAACTGCGGTTGAGCCCTTTGTCCACGTAGCTTGCGAAGCTAAAGAAAAGTTATTTTTTAACTGAATTTCTGATTAAGTTGTATTAAAATATCTGATATCATTCAGCCGCAGGCTATATTGTATATCTAAGGAGTAGTTTGACCACATCTGTGATATAGCATAAGGTTATCTGCACGATTTGTGTGTGTTTTTTATATTATTGGTAATCATATATAAATATTTCGTGTAACATTTTGTATCCTTAAAATATTTGAACCAGCTTCTGTTGGTGTAAAATATGGTTTTATGTTTGGAGAACTTTGATCGTAACGACACTCGAAGAAGGTAGATATTTAATTAATATTCTAGTAAATATTTTTTAGACAAATAATTCACATCTGAAACTAACTGTAAACATTTTCATGTCCTGCCTTGAAAGTTCTCAAAATATATCCGAAAAAGGAAATGCTGCACTAAGCGGATCCGTTAAATCTGCCAAAAAGCATACTGTTCCAGCAACTCCTTCATAAAGACTGAATGGACAATCTGGTGTTCTCGCATTGGACTTGAAGGCATCAGATTCCATAAACTGATAAAAACATATGGCCTGGTACAGATACTGGGGTTCAGATGTTAATCTAAAACGAAACTGTTAAGTAGATGCGCTTATTATTTATTTAATTTAAATTTACCTGTACATAATAAGGAATACGTATCCATTCCCTGCAACACCGTGACAAATGCCTGGCCCTTTTTTAAGCAGACCTTTATGCCAAATTAAATCGGCCATTCTTCTGCACGATTGCAAATATTTTTCCTCTTGAAATACTAAATAAGATTTTGCCATTAAATAGAATACACCTAAAATATAAAAAACGTCAATTTGTCGGACATAAATTGTCCAAAATTTGCGAAATAAAGTTGTTATTTTTATTATTACTTATAATTTTAGTAAGCCCTTAATTACCTCCAGCTCCATGACACCAATGAACTAACTTCGATTCATGACCAATATCATCCGTCGCCGCAGGAAAATTCCCTATAACATTTCGAATTACAAATTCGTTTACATACCAATAAAACATTTCTATTAACCAACCTTCGGGAGTTTGTATACTTAACAAGTAATCAATGGATATTTTTATATCATTTGCATCAGAAGGATTTTCATCTAAGTATCCCGGGACAGATAGGATACTCTGCAGAATACTAGAAATGCCATGAGCGGCACCCAAATATTCCACCTGAAATTCAGTATGTTGACGAAACAATTCTAAAATTTGTCCACATTTCTACCTGATAATATGAGTACATTAAGGGACATGGGGAACGAGTACTCAAAGCATATTTTCTTCCCGAAGCCAAAATAATTTTACATAAGCTATAGAGATCGCTTTTTCTTAAAGGGGTATTTGTCTCCTTAGCCAGCCACAAAGCACCCATTATGTACCCTAAAAGAATATTTCTCTATAGATTGTAGTCAAAATTCCAGGCCAATAACTAAAATAATTAATTTAAACAATAATTTAAATGTTGGCCTGTTTTACATACACTACATTTGAGAAGTGCACTAAAGCAAATGGAGTAAATAAAATAAAAAGTATGAGTCGTTAAACATTTGCATTAGGGAGTAAACATTTAAATGAAAAAATGTTTCATTGTTTGAATTTCTGTCATTTATACATTACATACTAGGAAAATTCATGAAAAAATCTACAGTTACGTAATTTTTACTTACCTTATAAATAATTGTGCGATTACGAATGTTCATTTAACTTTATTGTTGAATTATAGTGGCTTACCTGCCCGTCCAACAAAAAGTTCATCTGAACCACAATTTAAAAAATTTGGCTCGCTGCAATATTTTGATGATTCGTAATATAATTCCCTAAAATATTGACTTTGATTCGCATCTCCAATGGAATTATACAATACAGCTGCAACGGCATAAACTCCTGCAGGTCCCAAAATAAACGAGGGAAAATCCTGGAATTATTGAAGGTTTATTTCTTCCAAGTCTTAAGCTTTCCATGTACCTTCAAGGATTTAGTCGACTGTGCCGCTTTTAGAGCCGGTTGGATGTACTGAAGAGCTTTTTGTAGATAAATATCCTTGTTAAAACTGAACGTAGAATGTTTGCTAACATGGTAAAACATATATCCAATTCCAGCAGTACCCAAATAGATTCCATCAGCTACGAAGACATATTTTAACACAGAAGTTTTGATACATTTTCTAAGTCAATGGAATAAGTAGAATATATTTATAACAAAACTTTGTTTTTTGTTGGAAGTAGCCTTTTACGTAGATTAGTAATAGTTTAACGAACTGCTTAGATAATTAAAATTTACCATTTAAGGTGTAGGACTTGTTTTTCTATTAAGTACTGGATAGCATATTAAAAAATCCAGCCACTATATAAGCTATTTAATTATATTTTTTGTCGAAAAATAGTTCAGAAAATTCTGCTTCAAAATGGTGAATACGAAATTACCACCCATTTTCAGCCCGATGTCCTTAAAACTACGTTCAGAATTAGAATGTGGCAGTATTTATCAGCTAAATTAGTTGAATAAGTGTACATGTAGTAAAAATCGTGCTTTATAAAACTGTTAATTGTTTTTTTCTGCTTTTAAGCACAAAGTTTCCAAGCATTCACCTGCATTTCGATCAGTAGCCGGGAATTCTTTCGATATTCTTAAAACCATCTCATTCAGACTGTCTCTAATTTGCTCTTGGGGAATACTGGGGACTCCAAATTTTGGACTAAAAACTGGTTTAGGATTGGGAAAATACCTCAGTCTGTCCCCCATAGTATCCTTCTTTAGATATTGGGAGAATTTCCTCCCAAATTTAAACCTTAAACTGCGTTATATTGCTTTTACCAATTTTTGACGTTTAGTTACTAGTATATTACATGTTTTTGTTAACAAAATGTAGAATGTTTGTTATTATTTTTAAATTACTTGACATTTTTGACACTTAGATATCACAAGATTTATATGTTTAATATTCTTTTGCATTTAATCAAGAAAATTATGACTTAACATAATCATACATTTATACATGTAAATAAAGGTGCTCATGTACTTTATGCCTGTCCGATATTGGCGTTTTTTTTTATTAAAGTACACTTAAAAAAATGCGGATTGTCCATAAACTTTTATCGTTGAAAATGCGATTGCCCAGTGCTGTATACTGTTAAATCTTCGACGATTAGATACACAAAATCAAGCCTATGATCCGTTGAAATACAGTTTTTTCATAATGTTTAGACCTATTTCAAACATCATAATTGATTGCGGTCATGTTCCACACGTTATCTTCTTATTTTGGGCGGTCTTGTATGGAATGTCGCACGCAAAAAGTAAATAAAATATTTTTTTTTATAAAATGTTATTTTTTTTATGGTTGCGTGTTAAAAGTCGGTACAGCTGATGATGGAGACTTGTCTCTGCCACAGATAAAGACGAGACGGTCTCTGCTCTGAGCTTAAAATAAGGGCAGTCTGGCAACACTACACAAAGTATGAACACAATATAGAATTTTTATCAGTTTGTATCAAATTAAAAAAAATGCGAAAATCTGACATACATAAAGCACATAAGCACCAAAAATAAGATACATTGGATTTAATGGAAACCAAAAACTATGAAAAACGAAGACATTTGCTTATCTGTCAAATATCTAAAATTTTCGAACGTAGTAAAAGAAAAGTCGCACGTTTGGCAAGATACAGCTGATTCTGAGGAAAACAAATAATTAATCAAAAACCAGTCCTTCAAGGGGAAAGCAGCATTGAAACGCTGGTTTTAAGCTGCAAGTGACTTGCACTTTTAAAAAACAGGCGTTTCTACATTGATTTTCATCAGTTTAACGTGTCAGATAATATTTCCACAGAAAATGGCTCCTTCAGAACCAAGAAAAGGCGAAAGAAAACCGGTAGGCAATCATTTTGATTCTATGTTTATCATTGTTTGACTTTGTTAGAATGCACATACTTTAAATACATGTATGGAAAAGTTTAGAGGCGTTTCAAAAGCAGCAGGATCATCCGATAATTCCATTTGACTCAAAGGTCCTGATATGAACACAGAAGTTGTCCAGCCTATTAACTATTTAAACATAGGAAAGATTATTTTCGTTTACATTTCACATTTAGAGAATCTAATTTGTGATTCAAACTGAAAAACAATGTATACTGACAGTAGACTGTGCTCAGTCGAGCCCTCTAAAACCTGCTGATTCTTGTAGGTGTTCCAACAATTCCTAATTATTATTATATTACAAGCATTGAATATAATTACCATAAACATGAATGCAATAGATATACAGAATAAAATAGAGAATTAATTGAATTTGCTTGGTGAAACCTCTCGCACGCGCTCTTAAACGACGAAATTTGCTCCGATTTTCTAAGATTCTTCACCCCCAAAGTATTAAAGCACGTGCCCTAACTGGATTGAACGTATGTATTTATCCTTATAGGGCGATATGTATGTTGTATCCATCATTAATAATTCGAATGATCATTCAATATCAAACTTAAGCAGAGTACTATCTTTGAATGGTCGGAATACACCTAACTAATATACCTACTCTTAAAACATTTAATTTTAACGAATATTTAGCGACTACATGGATCAGATTGCGTGCTTCCTACATTTTATCTTTTCTTAGCCGTCTCCGTCTTGCATATTTTCCCTTTATAACTCATAACATTCTAAATTTATCACTTCATATACAGCGTGCAAAAAAACAAAATTATTATATTAAATTGAATTATCTTTTTCAGAAAGACGATCGTTATCTTGTAAGTACAATTTGAACTTGATTGATTGAAACATATTTTATTTCAACCCATGTTATTGAATAAGTGTATGTAACTTTTATATGAAAAAATAATGTGATCCATATTCTTGTTTGAAGAAAATCCGATATGTAACTGATTTTCGGTTGATCATACATGTCTAGATTCCATAGCATATTTCTTCATACTATACGTTTTATAGGCGCGCAGTGCGGTTTGCCTTAAATGCTACCATAAAAGTAGATACTAGATATGCTTCATTTTAGGCACCTCTTTCTCCGCCACCAATATTGGATATTACAGATGATGAATTGGTCAGCATCTCTGTTCGAGACCTGAACAGAACTTTGAAGCTTAGGGGCTTAACGAGAGAAGAGATTGTTCGAATGAAGCAAAGAAGACGGACATTGAAAAATCGAGGTAGATTAGTTCTTTTCCGTGTTCGTTAATTCGCAATTATAAGATGTATGCGTATTAAAGGATATGCGGCGTCCTGCCGAATAAAACGAATTGAGCAGAAAGATGAATTGGAAGTCGAAAAGACGCAAGAATGGCGCGATATGGAAGTTATGCAGGAAGAATTAGTTACCATGAAGGAAGAGATGAGTACGATACGTAGTCGATACGATGCATTGAAGAGATTTGCTGGTACTAATAAAATTCACATTCCTGTAGAATTAGAACATTTGTGACCTGATCACAACTTATTTTATATAAGTAAGTCGTAAATCTTTATGAATAGATATGTATATTTCGGACACTAAACAATTCTGTATGTTATGATGCTAGTGATGAAATTATTATTTTCTGTTCCATGTGACAAATCCTTTTTAGGAAACATATAAATGTACATTAAGCGAGTCTGTAATAAATAGCAATCGATCGTTTAAAAATAAAAATCTCAAAGCTTTATTAATTCAGAAACAACTAAAACATTGATCCCAGTTCCCAAAACAATTTATTTTTATTTATAACTTTATTTACAAAAACTCATCTATCTAATTTGTTCGGCCTTTTCATATTCACCTTTCCGGAAATGTTTCGTTAAAAGATCGTCGAGCTACTTCATAATCTGAAGTAGCCACATTAAATTTTCAACATAAACATTAGTAAGAATATGTAGAATAAGAAATACGCGCTTTATTTGCGAAAAGTAAAATTTTTACCAAATTTTTAAGAAGTGTAGTAAAATAATTGATAGGCATTTGATATAAATATACCATTCATTTTCTTTACTTGTTTATCGACCAAAGACAAATGCAGCAAATGTTTGTGGGGAAATTCCCATTTTGAAATTTGCAAAATGCCCGTGGAACACGTGACGTCGCTGCTATAGAGATCCTGGACGTTATGGCGTCCTTTATTTTTTTTTATAAGAAAGTACTGAATTTCATTAAGTGAAAAATGTAAGAAAAACTAGTAAGTAAAGTTGTTAGTAAAGGATTTCCGATTAGGTAAGTCGATTTTTAACTTATTTTTTTTTAAACCAGTAACCAAATAAAAAAATAAATAATAGATGAAATAAAATAAAGAATTTGGAAAACGAGAAAGTAATTAAAACATAAGTATACTTGTTTTTTTTAATTTTTGGTAAACTTTTGTTTGTAAAGCTCTTAAATGAGACTAAAACGACGTAATAATGTTTTAAATTAGTAAACCGGGAAAAAAATATTCTAACTTTTTTAATGTAGAAATAAATGAAAAAATCTGCCAAAATCGATTGAGAACGCAAAAGTTACTAATTACACTCTAAGAAGTTCCACATTTTAATAAATTAAACAAATTGATTGAAATAAAATATAATATAAGCTATCTTTAGAAAAATAATATTTGTATTTAAAAATGTAAAAAATTAATTAATAGATACCGCGAGGTAACGTCCGTCTTCTTCTCTTAACTATTTTGTTCAATTGGGGTTAATTAGTTCAACAGTTGGCTTGTAGGTGGAGCGGGAATAAAAAAAGTGAACGTTCACAGTTATTTTTCAGGTTTTTGTTGAAATTTTGCTTTTATTATAAACTTTCAGTACAAATCCATTATATAAACAATGTAAGAAAAGTGGTCGCTTGTTGTATGATTAGACGGTTTCGTTAAATCTAGTTCCGGAAATTTTCTGTTTGGTTATTTGATCTCTGCATAAGAAATTTGTTATGTTTATGTTTTGGACATATAAATAACATCATTTGTTCCTCTCCCTGATTGTTAAGTTTTCCTCAATGCTAACTAGGTAAGTGCAATATCCGTTTCATTATTTTACTTTTAAGTTTGAGTTTTTTGTTTGATTTTATCATATTTACAAAGCTCGCTTGGAAAGTTGCTCTACAACCCTTGCAGTTGTCCCATTCACTGGTGTATCTTAGACCTGGCGCTTCACCCATAGACTGATAAGCAGACTAATTATTATTAATTTAAAAACTGCAATCAGAATGTAGTAGTTTCTCTAAACTAAGTGGAATCTTTGAAGCTTCATGTTACTCATAACCTCGTTTCTTGCTCTGATAGTTTTTCTGCCATGGTTTTGGTAACAGGCGAGAAATAGCTGAAAAATCACGGTCTGAAAGTGCGGCTACGTGATTGAGTTATTTATTGGTTTTCAAAACTTTGATCATTCCAATACGGTTTCAAGAAAACTCATAATGCTATCGGTCACTTTGGAAGTAAAATTTTCAGTGTCTTTGTGCCCTTAAGTTTACTCTACTTGGTCAATTTAAGTTTCCTCCAGCATTTAATAATTTAATAGTCTTGATGATCATGGATCAATAAAAGATCTTATTTATTATTGAAAGGTTTTTTTCGTGCAAAAGATGCACCTTTTTACATACAAAATATGACTCAAATTTTTTGTAGGTACTTCTTTCATGCCTCTCTTGCAGTAACTATTCGTACTTTTGACTTATGATCCAAAAAACATGGCACGCCACTGCACTCTTTGTACGATTCGAATTTCTTTTATAAATATGGAAAAATTTACATGTCACAAAATAGACTTTCATATAATGGGAGCTATAAACTAAATGTGATCAATTTCTTATGCAAAATAATATAAAAACCAAGCTGCAGGAAGGCATTTCGGTTCAACATCAACAAAGAGAATGGTTTACGAAAGGAAAAAACCAAAAGGAATAACTAAAATTGAATATTTTACATAATTTAAGTGAATAATTGGGTAAGAAACAATCTAAGCATGGAATCTGTTTCTTCAAACTGACAATTTTGGAAGAAAAAATGGACAACTGTTAATGGAATTTTAGTTAGGTATTACCGGGTTCCTCTCTTAGTGCTTAGGAGTTATAAAAAGAAAAGAAATTAAGTAATTTTGCGGTTAATCAAATTTCAAACTTAAATGAGGCCTTTTTTCTTCTTCAAATCGGACTGTGGATTCAAAAAATGAGTACGCGAAAATTTACTACACTGCAGTTTTGCTTCTTGCTCGAACGTTTCTTTGAACATTGAAACATTACCAAAAGATGAAATTCCTTGTGGCATTATTATTCACGTTCAAGAAAAAGAATGGATAGTCTGGAATGAAATTATAGATAGAAAAGAGTGGGTTATAGGTCTAAAAACACGGTATTAATTATTTTTCCATATGACCATAGAGAGCGCCTGGGCAGTTAATATTTTGTCGTCCCAATCCACATTTAGTTCAGATTAAAAAGGGACTTATTTTAGAACTATTGCAGATCTAGAAATATGTTCAAAAGACCTAAAAAACACATTACTATCGGAGCAGAGCGATACGAACTAATGCTTACCTACTTATTTTAAAAGCTTGAACTTGAAGTTTACACCTTCAGAGTAAGAAGAAAGTGTTTAATATTTTACTGATGATTCATTACAGGTTATATTAATGAATGCTAATGTTTACTTTATATCTTAATATAAGCCAAACGATAAATTGCCAAACTAATCAGAATTAGATCTAAAATGTCTCATGTCGACCCAAGATTACTAGTCTATCGATTTTTAAAACACTTTTTAGTTCATTCATATGTAGCTTTCAAATGATTTCATACCATTTAATTAATCATTTCTCAGCGCATTTGTTCTTGTTACATTTCCTTCGCTGTCAAGGTCTACTAAACTAAAACAAATAAACCGGTTGGGAAAAAAGACAAGCCATTTTCGTCGAGTTTTGAATGGAAACGATTAGAGACAACGCCGCCAATAGAACGAGAAATGCCTTCTCAAGATTACTTACTTTACTCAGGAGGCAGAACGATTCGATTTCATTAGAAACATTGGGATAAACGAATAAAATTACTCATAAATATAGTATGAAGCTGGAGACCCGTTTAATGAAATTGATTTAGATAATCTGGGTGTTGAAGCGACACGACGTCAAATAAATCAGATTTTAAACAGGTATATTTCAAATACAATTTTTTATAAAATTGCGAATAATTGCAATTTGAACGGTTATTTACAATTCAATTTGTAAGCTCTTTATTTACAAATGTTCATATTGCTTCTTTAATACCTAGCATGTTTAAATTTTGAAATCTCGAAATATCGAAATTTGAATCAAATGGAAAAAGCGTTACCAATAAGTCTACAATTATACAGGGTGATTCAAAATTGGCGTCATTCCTCTGGAGGTGTTGTAGGAGTACAGAAAAAATAGTAAAACAAATTAATTGTTATTAAAAACTGAGAAATTTGCAAAAAACTATATCAGAAATACGGCAGCAATGTTTTGCAAGGTAATCTGCCTAATTAACATTGTGCAAATACCTGTTGCTTTGTAATTATTTAAAACTACGGTAACCATGGAATTATGAGTGACAATAAGATAGACAAGGATAAACGGTAAATTCAACAAGATTTGTTGACTGCGAAATGTCAACCTGTTCTCATAACCTTGAATTCTGCGGGGTTTGGTGTTTACAAATAATCCATACAACACCAAACATTTGAATGGTTAACTCCAAACAAGCTAGTGCCTGTGTAATCTCCTTAGTATCCACTCTTATCAAGCAGCTTCTCGTATTCAGTTAATTAACTCCTGCTCCTCGGTATTTATTTGGTGGGAGAGGAAATTCAAAGTAAGTGACAGTTTGACAAAATATTGTTATTATTGACAAGGGCTATCCACCTGTAACTATCTGACAAAAACCTTAATTGCCGCTGTGACTTTTCATCAAAAAATTGTAGAAGAGAACTTTTTTGATATTGAAAATTTTCGTAATTTGAAGCAAAGATCGTAATTTTTCTTTTTGAGTGCTTAAGTATTCCAATATGCTACCAATTAAACATGGAACAATTTCAAAAGAATGCTTAATAACAAAGTTGAAGTTCAATCTTCAACTGTTAAGATCTTCTAGAAATTTTCGAAATAAAAATTTTCAATATTTTTCTCGTGCTCCCCAAGGAAACCTCTATCGCCCTTTAAAAGGAATGACGCCAATTTTGAATCACCCTGTATGCAGAGGAAGATGTATATTTTATAGAAAAAATCGTTCTAGAAAAAAGCCATAATAATTTAAAAGCTAAATTAATGATTCATTTGGGAAATTCACATAACTTGGAAGAACATGTGAGGCCAACCAAGTCGAACACCACAATCAAACCACGAAAAGGCAAAACACATTTTGAATCAGACAATGTGTGAAAAAAGGATGAAAAAGACACCAAGTATCAAAATATATTCAATTTGAACAATCTAAAATCCTCTTAGTAAGAAATCTCTCAATAAATAAAGGCAAGAGCCATTGCAGAAAGATAAAATCTAGAAGCGAACGTCTGGCGTTATTTGAAAATGCTAGTTGGTGTTTTTATGAATTTTTGAATAAAACGTCTTTCTCGTACTGAACCCGTTCTGAAGCTATAAATATAGGAATTAAGGAAAATTCGAAACCGCTGGCCACTCTGAATCTTAGACAGATAATTGACGATAATCATTGACGGTCTATCGGCATTTCGAAGATCGCTTAAATCTATAATCTGAGGACTATTGTTGTCCTAGACAGTGGTAATCCGCTTATGCCCTTCACCGTCGGAATGTACTATTCTGCGGGTTCCTATATACCTAATATTGCAGTCGAAAAAGTAGAAAATCAAGCATCAGATTGCAGTTGGTTATCTCTCAGACGGTAAATGACTTGGCATTTAAATTCCTCAATGAAAAAGATGTCAAGTCAAAGCAAGAATAGCATCCTTAACTCTTGAATCTATAAAGTGATGTGGCGCGAAAAATGTGCACTTGAAAGACGGTCAAAGAGAACAAAACGGTTAAAACGATTAAAAAGGAAGTCAACAGTAGACAGAAAGTCGGCTACAAATGTTGAGCCCGGTCCCATCAAAGCGCTTCATAATTTTTAAGTTTCACTGTGATCTAAGCGTTCGCTTTGACGCGGGCCGCGAGCGGCTTCTTTGATGTTGCCGACCGGTGTCCGCTGGTCGGAACGGAGCACAAGGGGGGCCGACATCACCTGTTGTAGCTCAATGAAACAACAAAATTTATTCTCACTCAATCAATCTTGCGCCATGTGGGTACTTTGAATGGTTAATGTGTGGGTTTTACCAATAATAGATTTTAAACACTATTCGCCAATCTTCACTAAGCAGACCAATTCAGATGTTGGGTGCCAAAAAATACCTATACACTGTGTGTGTCTATTAAAGTTCGCACCATATGGGAAACTTGTTTATTATTCATTTTACCAAAAATATGTACTCTTCATAAACCGTTCTGCTTGGACCAAAACCTAAAATGCCGTCCTCAGATTTTTTTTTAAATCGTATAGGTATGAGGCATATCAGAAAATGTGAATTTTGCTCAAGGATCAAGTACCTTGATTTTTAACAATATCGAAAATTGTTGTTAAAAACAGTTGATTACAGTTGATAAGTACTTTCAGATATCTAATTGTACCTACCTATGATCAAAATCAAGTTTTGTTATTTTTAACATTATTTTTAGGCTGGTTTCACGTGGAAAACTTTTTTATTATTAATTTTACGCAAAAAAGTTGTTGTTCATAAAAAGTTCTGTATGGTCCAAAACTGAAAATGCAACAATCAGATATAATTTTTTTTCAGGAAATATGGATTTTGCTCAAGAATGAACTATTAATTATATGTTCAACGATTAAAGTCTTATAGTCGATATTATCAGTAATAAATTTACTTTAATGTTGAGCAAAATTTATATTTTCTCACAGACCTCGTATAAGACTAAAAACATATCCGATGACTGGATCTTAGAAAGTCCAAATCTTTTTAGGAAGAGCTCCTGTTTTCGTAAAATTAATATTAGAAAAGTTTCCTTTATGAAACCATCTGAAAAATAACAAAACTCGATGTTCACCACAGATACATGCAGTTAAATATCTGAACGTTCAAGTAGACACACTGTATATTATCAAAAATAAAATGTAGAAGTGCCTGAAACTTCTCTCAATAAAAAAACGTTTGTTTCCAATAGATTTATCGCGTAATACTTAAAACGAAGACGCCTGTCCGACGAACATTTACATTAATACTTTGAAGAACTGAACAATTTGATATGCAAATGCGTTTATAATGAATGGTAAATATGAATATCTGCAGTCGTTCTGGATTAATTGTGTAACTGCATATTTTTATGCAATGTGAATAATAAACATACATATCTGAGATGCGAGTAGGTTTTATTAGGTAAAAGTAAAATCTATAAAAATTTAAAAAATGTCATTCAATTCTAGAATGAGGTAAATATTCCAATGTGTAATAACTTGTTTAAAATTGGCTGTATTTAAATTAAATTATGTATAGCTGGATTCATCTTGCATTCAATCCGAGGAAAATCAAGTGGCATTAATCCTTAAATTCAAACAAATCAGAAAGGAGGTTTCAAGAACATTAGAGGATGGCTTGAATATTTTTTTGGGCATTACACGGAAACTCGATAAAACCGGCTTTGATAGCAGACGCGGAAAATTGATTCAATTGAAAATGGCAGGCTTTTACGAACCTTAATACGAAGTTCATTGATCCGCTGATTCAACCATTATGAAGTAAAAGTTGATTTTATATTTATATATATTCAATTCATACATGTTTAGTAGCCCATACGAATTTTGAATCAAACATGAAACGTTACATTACATTAACAATAAATACAATATTCATAATTGTCTTTGAGTAGGCTAGGTTTATTAGACCGCACTCAGGAGGACCATGAAAAACATTTAAAAGGTTTTATTCTTCATGCATTTGCTTGCGTTGAATGCCCTTTTAAATGCAGGCGTTAATTACGGCATAAAAGGTGTTTTATTTTTATCGATATCTGCCCCGGCCGGTAGCTAACTCCATTTATTCTTATCTGTGAAACGATCTTAAAGAGGTATTTTTAGTTATTAGGATGAGTGGCAAGAGAGGCTTGACTTTCGAAAATTTAACTAATATAAATTTCATGTTGAATATATGAGGAATGTTTACTCAAATGTTTATCAAGTAAAGTTAAGTTTCGAGAAACATGGCAAAATTCAATTTTTTTAACTGTGCTTTTGTTAAATGTTTGAAGTGACTTCCGTTAACATCCGTACAAAGAGTAATTAGACGTGAAAAGTTAAGGACCTGAAAAGGACCCGATCGTCGACCATCACTTCCTGGTCGCTTCATAAAATATCCAGGATTTCCGGCAACTGATTTTTTAATTCGTAAACGATTTATTACTTGAAATTGCATTTCTAAATAGTTAACGTGGTACTGTCTGTAGAGACTTCTATTAAGAGACTGTTTTTTTTTATAAATGTGTACAAACACAAGTCTGGGCATACATATAATAATATATTAATTAACATTAATATAACATATATTAAATTAAATGTTAACGAAATTTCGATTAGATACTACCATTGCAAACAGCATAATACATTTTTCTCGATTTTTTCGGTATGGGTATTAAATGCTCTAAAATTCGTTGGTGATCAAATTGAAACTCGGATCGTGAATCCGAATCCGAAAAGAGATTTTTTTTTCAGCACGAACTCATAACGTCTGCCATGGGTTGACTTTGGTTTTGTTTGAACAACAGGAAAATTCTGCTACAGCAGTTTTTAACAATTGTTCAACAACAACAACAAATGAACGTTACACGGCCAAATTTTCCATAAATTTGCAACTCGATAAATTTTGTTTGCTTCAAGCGATTTTCTGTTTGAAACGTTATTGACCCTCATTTGTTTTCTGGTACCCAATGTTTTGAATGTTTTGAAATTTTCTACAGCCTGGCAAATGCTGAACTGCAACATTCAACATTTCGGAAAGTTCAGCATGCTCCTAGTTAGACACAAAAATGTTTTTTGCATCATAACACCAAAAGTTTCAAGATAAACTAAATAGCTCGGAACGGTTTCGTGACTTTTTTGTTTTTTGCAGGGTGGTCTCAAAAAATCAACTTTTTGGTCTTGCAGCGATTAGTTTTTTGCTCTTAATCCGATTTTCACGATCTAGAGCTCAGTTGAAGGCACTTTAAGAAGACAAAGTTTCGACATAGAATCAGAAATGCCCTCGAAATTAAACAACATTTTTGAAAGTGAAGTTGAAGTGAAAGTGAAGAAGAAAGAAAATGTTTCGTTCATTTATGCAACTCGGTATTTTGGAATTTTTTCTCGTGTCGACTGCGAAGTTTCGCTTCAACATGAGCCTTAATGCTCCTCCTATGTTTACAGCCCTCTAATCCCAAGTTGTTTAAATTCAACAATTATCTTTGCTCATTGTGATAATTGTTATTTAGTACTTAATGTACGAAGTGAATAAGTATTAAAAGGCGATAAAAATACTTCACCATCGGCAGTCTTACAAAAGAGACTTTCATTAAAGACTAAATTCCCAATATGGGAATCTGGCGACGGGAGTAGTTTAATAAATACGGGAAAATTAGTACCAGTTGCTATCAGTACCCGCAGAAATTGAACAATAAACCATTTTTCAAGATATAAAACAAGGTGGCTCAGAATTATAAGTAGATAACTCCAAATGGGGAGTCTGGATTGAGTAATATCATGTTGAGACACGTTTGATGCTTGTAACTGAGGCTGACATATTTACAAATTATTGTATTCATCAATTATATTTATTTGTTGTTGAATTGGTTACTCAATTACGTTTTCTAAATTAGTTTCAGATGTATTATCTCGATCGACCACTTGACAAATTTTCAATAGATTGAATATTGGTTTGTCTGATGTCTGTAGAGTTACTATTTTTTTCAAACTAACTGATGTTTATTATAACAAGCATAAGCTAGCACCCTATAGTAATAATGGTGTATTTTTGCCTTGCTGTATGTAATAACATTCATTAAATTACTTAACCTTTCTAAGGTGAAGCAATCCGAGCCAAGATTATGTAACTTCATTATTGTCTTAACGGTTTCATGGTGGTTGAAAGAAAACAAAATTTGTTTTTTAATTATAAAATACAGAAAGTATGTAAATAGAGAACAAACATTGAATTTTATATATTTAATCAAGTACATATATTAACAAAAAAAATTATTCCGTTAAAACAGACTTGCAAATCGTTACTTTCATTTAAGGGTAAATAATTTTCAAAAGGTTGGGTGATGTAACCAAAATTATGAACCGTGAATATAACGGCAACGCTGCTGTCTTTCAAGCAGCATCTGCGGCTCAATTCTACGAATTGGTCCTTTAGATAGCTTTCTTGAAGACTGAAAACACGAATTTTTACTTGTTTTGACCTGAGCCGCCGGCCCAAAACTCATTAGATGTGGATTGGATGTAGGATAAATAAATAATTAAATAAATAATAAATTAAAAATTCAAGTATACATATTAGAACATTTTTGGATTGTTTTTCGAATTGCTGGATAATCTTGATAAGTGGTTGAAATACTGAATAACAGCCCTCCAATGACTCTTCGAAGAAATCGTGTTAACATTGATTATACACTAAAGATTGGTTAAAAGTGCTAAAATATTCCGCTAATGGAAAATCGACTTACGGATGAGATACATATAGTAAATGCATCTACAAATATTGATAGAATATAGGTAATAACTGAGGCGCCGGTTTTACAGTAATACTTTCCGAGCCATCTATTGTTATCTATGCATTTATTGTAATTATCAAATACCCATTCAATTTGCTCCTATTTGTTCCATATGCATGGCTTTCCCACCAAAGAAATGTTTGCCTCTGTTCTTTAATGTTTGTAATGTACCTATTTTGTTTTATTCTGCAGATTGTAGACTGGACGCAAGGCGGAAAAAAGTGGTTTGGATAATTGCCGATGTTAACGGTTTTGGCAATGAGCTGGACATCGGCAATAGGCATGAACTGTGGTAAACTGATTGCTGATGCTAATACTTTTACAAGGTATGTATTTATTTTAAAAATGCCAATAGAGTGTTAGAAAAAATGAGCAATCTACTTAGTTCAATAACAGAGGTTCTGTATCCAAGTGGAAAACTCGAATTTACTTAAAAGCACTTATCGATTACGGGGAACGAAATGTTTTAACGAAATCATCAGACTGCGGCACTTTTGAAGTCTTAATCACCGCGCCGCTACTTGTGTATTCTAAATATTAACACATGACCAAGCCATTAATGTGATCAACTACAATGTGCAGATTGACATTATTTTTATTTACTTATTAATCTATTAGGTAAATATTTAGATTACGTACATCCTATAAGCTGAATACCTATTTTTTGCCATATAATGGCAGATTTTCTACAGATTTATTTAACATTGAGATAATAATTAAAATTGTACTGCAATCAAATTTTTGAAACTATTTTTTTGTGTCATTGATTGTATGTAGGTAATTCAATCTAAAAACCAAATCAAATCAAAATTAGAGCAGCAATGAAGCAGTGAAGACGGTAGTACGAAGTAGAATGTATTAGAAATAAAATTTACTTATTAGTTACTTTATTTTTGCATTGCTTCTTTTGCTTTAACTCCGCAGTCTCGCGGTCGGAAAAATCAACATTTGAAGAACTTTCCGGAGTGGGCAGACAAGCTCTTCATCAGCTTTACCCTATTTAACGTTCACAATTATAAGTTGGCAAGTTGCATTAACATGTTCGATTATGATAAGATTTGCTAAGGTGCAAACAACATACCAGAGTTTTCCCCGTTGAAACTGGATTCTGAATCAGTGTTAATGAGGCCCTTTTTTATGTATAATTTTTAAGAGTCCAAGCCCATTTTGAGTTTCAGTTTTGTTGTTAAGTAATCATTATTAATCATTTGCAAGTACCGACTCAATCATTTTAATACTTGAGACATAATAAAGCTTTTTATTAAATGCATTTTATTATATTTTTTGATTTGAAGATACTCATTTGATTGAAGTATTACAGCTCGTCTATAAAATAGACTTTTATTCTCAAATCGTCTGGTGCACTAGCTTGTGTTAATATGACCTTTTCCTCATACTATAAAATAATGCATCTTTCTCGTGACATTGCTAACGTGACTTAGTGGCCTTGGTACTGTTGAACTTTTATGTTAGCCGATTTCCTACTGGACAACCTTTTTCTTAGATTTAGTATTGTATTTCGTTACTATCGGTGGCGTTTAGTTGTTCAGTGGCGTAACAGATACCGACTTTATATGCAAGAATTCAACTAGGTAGTAGGTATAATCAGGATTAAATACTGAGATTTATAGACCCCCATCAAGTTTAAATTGTGGAGCTGAAGGGGTTCAAAGCCGGAGGGCTGTAAGAGACTTTCCGAGGCACATCGGTGTTTTTCTTTCACTGAACTTCAGTCTCTTCGTTCTAAATGGTTTAAAACTATATTTTTTATGTCAATAAGCTGTTACTAATTCTGAATAGCTAGCTTCTTTATCAGTTACGAAAATGCATTAAATAATTAGCTATAGGATGTACGTATGTGCATTTTCCATTTAGAAAAGGGAAAATGCTGCCTATTTTCAAGTATCGGTGTGTATTTTTTTCGACAGTAAGTTACTATTTCAAAAATTTGCCAATAACCATGGAAAAAATGCTGAATGTGCCCTAAACGTTCTTTCTGAAATATTGGACATGAAAAATATTTCATATCTTTAAATCGCTTCTGGTATATCCGGCATCTGAGTACATTGATATTAACGCCACTTGACCGATTCTTTATTAAATTCCTCACACTTTATTGGAATTTACATTTGTTTGAGACTACTTGAACATCACTTACTAGGTAGTATTTGCGAAAAGCTCACTTGTCTCTTGCGGTAATGGAATCTCGCAAAAGCTGAATTGTTAGAATGCGTAATGTGCAATGGAACCGTTGAATGAATTAATTGCTGTGCCCAATTAACTTATGAGAAATCTCTTGGTTGTTAATAAATCGGATCGGTAGTTATTGTTTCTGCAATTTTCACTTTAGGGTCAGTAGCAAAGTATTTTCGATCTATAAACAGTCAGAACTCATGCTCTTTARTTTCACTTTTTACTTACCGGCCTCCACATTTTGATTTGATTTATTTTGCTAACGTTAGGCCCTTAATCSATGTTTTTTTGTTGAATACCAGTTTTCAGTTATTTTTCTGTAAAATGCACCTTTAATATTCTCGTCAATCAAGTGTGYGATTTCGACTTGATTTTTTTTGAATCCGTTAGTCGCGTYAGTGACTTATGTGGGCGWTTAAAAATAAAAYRTTYTGAATCTTAATGAWTATKMGGTGGACGACGGCATTTTGATRACATGGGGTTATTTAATAATYGAAAAAAAAATGATGAACTTTCATGATTGACGATGATTTCAAACAGAAACAYAAAAGAACAKTTTGCTTATTGRAAATTTTTTCATTTCATCTGCTATATTTAATTAGTTTGCATACTTCTTTCGTCTATTTTTCTGCATTAAACTGCGGTTTAATGACAACGATTTAATATTTGCGTAACAGTTGATTTAGAGATATGTTCTCACTTCAGATCTTCGAGATCTTCATGATCACATCTTCATCACGAAAACTTTGTTCGCATTTTAAAATTTTTAATCAGCTTTCTTTACGCCTAAACGTGTTTTAAAGCTCAACTTTTGATTTATAATTTTTTTTTCAGGCAACAGTTTCAATTGAACATACATTTTTTAGAGCAATAGCTTTTCATATAACGGGCTTCTAAAGTGCTGATTTTTTAAGATATTGAATTGAAGCTTGACATATATGTATCTAGGATTAGGCCCAAGCTAGGAGTCTATTATCGCGCCCCCAATTCAAAAATAAAAAATTGTGATAATTTTTATTTGAAACCGCTTAAACGATTAAACAAGTAGCGAATGATAGGCAGCCAATACTTCGAATAGATGCTAGTTATTTAATATAGAGCTTTTCTGTTGGTGAAATAAAGTGGACACACTCTTAATGTATGAATAAAAGTATATTGATAAATGATAAAGATAAACAAAGTACAAAAGTAGATTCCCGAATACGAGAGCGATTTTGTATCAGCAGCGATTTTACAACAACTAACTAAAAAGGTTGCTCTCGCGATGAACAAAAATTATGCTTGCCTAAGCAATATGGCTTTGTGGTACACTGTGGCCCATAACATATATGGCTGAACTTATATTGATAATATTAAAAGCATTTTGATTATAGTCTTTTCTAACATTTTTATCGAAAATTTAGTTTATAGCTGAAATGGTGGAATTAAAAAAATGGAATGTTAAGTTAAGTACACATTTTTTCGCTGGGTAAATTCGCCCAGGAACCCTCCTGAATTGTTTGTAGTAATTCCTTTTTTGTAGATAACAGACTTCAGGGAATAATTCATCCATTTTATAACATTCATTTCAAGTCAGGTCAATATTAAACTCTCATTAGGTGTAGGTATTGTCTTGCTGTAAGCATTTTGTGAAGGTTTTTGGCTTTTTGAAAGGCCGCCTGATTGAAACGCTTGAGACAGACCAGTCCGATGTTTTACTTTTTCGGAAACCGCACTATACCTTTGATGAATTCCCTTTTGTTGGTACCGAAGAGAAATACTTTACCGATTTCGTACGCCTCTGCCAACTTGGTTTAATGGGGGTCCAACTGTGGCGGGTAGGACGAGGAGGCGGCGTTCTTTTGAGGCCCAGAAAGCTTAGTGGTACCCGCGGTTGCTGACCCTCTTTCTTCAGTGCAGTCTTCTGCTAGTTCTGTGTATGGTACCGAGTGGACATGATAAGTCGGCATCCTTTTAGTCGTTTTGCCCGAATTTATGTCTAATGTGTAAACTTTCTGGGATTCTGGGTTGAGTATCTTCGGTGTTCTGGTGTATGAATGTGCCAACAAAGATGTATTTTATAGAAAATCGTGAATTTTATCTAGTGTTGGCCAATCTTTTTTGGATTATTTATTGGATTTAACATGGACTGACTTTATCAAGTAAGTACATATCTTTGAGATAACTGACGGGATTGATTGATTCATGTGTTTATAAGTTTGTATTAGTGAAATTACCTAATTTATCAGGGGAATTTTGGATAAATTACCCGATGAGCGGATAAATATGGTACAGCTAGTTTTAACACCGGGCGCATTTCAGAGATTTATGTGGGTTGGTTCTACCTGCTAGACCGAGACGATTGGGGCAAAAATGCGTGGACTAAACATAAACTTTTTTCAGAAAGATTGCGTTTTCTTGGAATTTGACTGTTATTTAGATATTTTGCCTGATTTATTAGACACTGAAACGTGATCACTAATTTGCTTTCATTTTGGTTGTTTCTTCACAACTTTATTTAACTTTTGAATCAATTCACAGTACGTAGTTTCATCAGCATGGACAGGTCCTGACCATTTGCAACTTCTTCAATGCAAATTCACATTTTTTTGCATAGTGATCGATTAGTATGGTTTAAATGTTTAGTTTCAACTTATTTACAACTGCTGCAGTTGTCAATTGCGCCGTGATTAGCATTTAATTCAGCTGGTTTGTGTAAGTTTTGCTGCATTTAGTTTAATATTACAATAGTGCGATTGATAACGTTCTACGGATATACCTTTGTTTATCAACAACAAAGCATTTCCTTCGATTTAGTTGACGGATTTTCAGTATAATTATTTTGCTTCTGCCACTGTGGTTAGGATAAGCCGCTTTACACTTTTTTAAATAAAGATTTATTCGTCATTCCTATAACATAAATGACAAAAATTGGCATTTTTATGTCCGTCGCAAAGATGACTATGTTTCCACATACACATTTCGTTTAATAGACGAAATTTGTATGTGAAAAAACCTCTTTGCGACGGACATAAATATCTGTAAAAACATTATTTTATTATGTGGATTCATGTTCTTATGGTCTGAAACAGACTTAAAAACTTTTGATAACGAATCCAATAGTAAGAAAGTTTTTTAGTTTTATCATATGAAA